ATGGAATATTATTCAGCCATAAGAAGAAAACAAATCCTACCATTTGCAGCAACATGGATGGAGCTAGAGGGCATTATGCTCAGTGAAATAAGCCAGGCAGAGAAAGACAAGTACCAAATGATTTCACTCATCTGTGGAGCATAAGAACAAAGCAAAAACTGAAGGAAAAAAACAGAAGCAGACTCACAGAACCCAAGAATAGACTAACAGTTATCAAAGGGAAAGGAACAGGGGAGGGTGGGTGGGAAGGGTGGGAAAAGGGGATTAAGGAGAATTATGATTAGCACACATGATAAGGTGGGACACGGGTAAGGATGTATAGCACGGAGATGACAAGTAGTGACTCTATAGCATCTTACTATGCTGATGCTCAGTGACTGTAATGGGGTATGAGGGAGGGACTTGATAATGGGGGGAATGCAGTAACCACAATGTTGCTCATGTGAAACCTGAGCATAAGATTGTATATCAATGATACCTTAATAAAAAAAAAAGTTCATGTAACACATTTTTAACATTTCATTCTATATTCAGTGCATGTTATCCATCCCTCCCCAACCCTACCTCTTTAGACCCCATCTTGTTCCACAAAGGACTTGGGGAGGAAGCCATAGCTGCTAGATTTATGTCCTCAATGAGATAGAAAACTCAGTGTGGATCCCAGCCAAGTGACTTTACAGCCTGGGACAACAACATTCCTCAGTGGAACCACAAAGTGGGCCTACTTGTATGTTCCTTCATGAAAACCAAACTCCCACTTTAGCAAGAAAAAAATTATTCTTCCCAAGCCTACATTTTTCTCCATGATTTTTTTCCAAAAAATTTTTTTCACTGGAGTCTATTACCATTCATCATTAGTTTGCCAGAAAGCACCAGGTAACACCAAAATGAGTATGTACACAGGCAGCTGTTAACATTTAAACTAAATAAAGAGCTTATCTTTTATGGATGTGTGCTCAGGCTGTCATTTTCTCTTAGGATTTAGAATATGTCAACATTTCTAAGTAAATATCTCTATAAAATTTTGCATTAGAACACAGAGTTTAAAAGGAATGATTTGTACTAACACAGAGGGTCCTGGTCATTTGAGTATAACATGGCCCCCACAGTTGGGAGGTTGTCTGGGGAAGAAAAAGTTACTAAAACACAAAAATATTCTTCAATTCCTAAGTCGACTACTTAGGAAATCAGATGCCACGAATGCATCCTTCTCGGATCTGCACCACTGCCCCCCACTGACTCAATGGCTTCGCCTTGCTGATTGATCACTGGTGTCAACATCCACCGTCATGATATCAACACAAAACAAAGCAGCCACTCTGCAAAACTGCCCTTTCCCAGAAAGTGCAGTGTGTCACCAAGTCAGTGAACTTGAAAAGGCCACCAAAAGAGATCAACTCTCTTTGAGTCATCATGACCTATAATACAACAGGAGCTCTGAGAGTGTGCAAAACACCAAAAAAAAAAGTAAAAGAAGCCCTTGGAGACACTGGGGATCCCTCCAATAATTCTTCAGAAATTACCTTCTTTAGCCCAAGCTGTAGAAATTAAACATAACATGAAGAAATGTCATACAATGCTCTCACACGATTTTTGTAAAAAAAAAGTTAAGGCAAAAAAAAAAAAAAAGAATCAACCCTTAATTAATTTTATACCCAATCTAAGAATTAGCATTTAGGTGCAATTACAACCAGATTCTATTACATGTAAGATAAAATAAACATGTTCATAATTTGCAATGCCATTTTTCAAGCCCAGTCAAAACTTTCCCCATGCCCCACCCTTACTATATACAACAAAACTTTTATTCTTAAGTGATTTTTTTTTTCTGGAACCATTTATTTTCAGATAGAGAAAACCTTGATTCATTTCATGCCATTCTATCAGTGTATGAAAGATTACATACCAAAATGTTAAAGGTGATCATCTCTGGGCAACAGAATTATGTGTGCTAGTATATTCTCTTTTGCATAAATATATGGTTTAATTTTTCCAGAATGAATATTTAATATTGAAGGTTTTTTACACATATGTTTTAAGAGCACTGTGGCAGTGCTTACCTGTCACCCCCACTTCTCCTTTGCTAATGGAATCTTATTTCATTCTGGTATTCAAATAAAATGTGCTTAGTAAGAGCTACCTCAGCCCCAGGAAAGAACCAGGAGTAGTCCATCATCAACATCCCAGTTCCCTTTGCCAATGACTGGTTTAGAGGTTGGCATGTGACCAAGTTTTAGCCAATGAAACATAAGGGGATGCTTGCTGAGGAGTTTTGGGAAAAGGTTTTAATACCCAAAAGTGTATTATCACATGAGGACGTGATGTCTGGAACTATGTCATGTCCAGAACTTGTGATCACGAGGAAGAAGCCAAGAAAATCCCAAAGAAGTCTGTTTTTGAGCTGCTGAATTAACTAACCCTGAAATCTTAACCTCCAGAATTTTTGTTATCTGACATAATAAACTCCTATCTTTTAAGCCACCTTAATTGGTTTCTATGCTTCTTACTATCAAAAACACTCCAAATGATACAAACACTGTAGTTTAGTGATGTTCAGCTTCCTGAAGTGTGTAAACCATCGCTGTGTATCTTTCCATCAAGGGAGACCAAAAAGAAGTTTTCTAAGCAAAGACATATACCTAACTCCAGGATCTATCACTGCACAATCTGAGACTGTATCTCTACAAACCCTTGCAAAGACCATCTGCTGGTCCTAGGAGGTAATGGCGGGCCCTTGTCTGGAGTGGTCCAGCTCAGGTCATATCTGTCATGTTTGGCTAACTCTGTCAGTAAGTTGGGGCACTTCTAACGGAGCCCCTGTATGTAGGAGTTATCTCCTAGGCACACCTAGACCCCTGCCTTAGGAGCTTCCAGAACTGGGCTTCTCTCAATTTCAACTAATAATACTCTCAGAGGCACTTATTTCAGAGGTTGCAAAGTCAAACACAGGAGATGGGCAGTTAACACAAATGAATGCCCCATGCCAGGTGAGGACCGAAGAACCAGGAAACTCAGACTCCCTGTACAGGCACAATTGACATGTGGGAACACAGGCCCAGCATTGGTAGGTGATTCTAGATTTTTTAAAAACCTACGAATCTGGATTTTTATGTACAATCTCCCAGGTTTTAGAAATTGACAACTAATTCAAGTATCCTTCAAACTCCATTTGGACCAAACCAAACTATCTGAGAGCTGGATCCAGCCCACCACTGCTGCTGTCAGCCTCTGGACTATTCATCCCTAACAACCACATGGCGATTATATCCAGCTTTTAAACTGCCAAAGCCCTTCACTTGATGAGGAAAGCAAGGGCTCAACTTTGCTGAAGCCAAGGGATTGCTGAGACAGGACCAAAGTTGTTGAATAGGAAAAGCTTACAACTTAGAGATGCTCTAAGTTCTTTTTCATACTTTATTAAACTGGCTAAGTTCCTCTTATGATGTTGAAGAGCGGTGGTGAGAGTTGACATACATACCGTGTTACTCAACTTCGGGAGAAAGAATTCAAACTTCCACTATTAAGTATGATGTTAGATGTAGTTTTATGTAGATATCTTTTATCAGGTTGATGAAGTTCCCTTTTATTCCTAGTTTTCTGAGAGATTTTATCATGAATGGACATTGAATTTTTGTCAAATGTTTTCTCTGCATTAAATGATATGATCATGTGGTTTTTCTTCTTTACACTGTTATATGGCCTGATACTGGAATACTGAACCAGTCTTGCATTCCTGGGATAAGCGCCCCCTGACCTTGGTCTGGGTTTCCGGGCACTTTGGAGAGTCAGTTGTTTCTGTTGTAAAGTGCAGGCAGTAATACTGACCCTACCTCATAGGATTGTGCCAAAGATTAAAAAGAGAGAACCAGCATATTTGTGTTGAAGGGGATGTGTGCCTGGACCCAAAGTCCTATTTTCAACCTTTATTACAAATGAAGAAACAGAGGCACAGAGAGGTTCAGCAATTTGCTCAAGGTCACACAACTATTGAGTAGTGGAGCTGGGATTTGAACACAGGCAGCCCGCCCTGTTTAGAATTCATATTCTTCACTAATGCAGTATACTGTTATTTTTAATTTAGTCTGAAATAGATTGTGGAGGAGGGGAACTTATGAGAAAAATATTAAGTACAAAATGTAAGGATGTCATTTATATGAAGTTTCAGAATAGGCAAACCTGATGGGGACAGAGTCAGAATAGCAGTTACTTCTGGGGGTTGTGGAAGAGATACTGACTGGGAAGAGGTATGAAGGAGCATTCTGAAAATATTTCACATCTTGGCTTGGGTGGTGATTACTTTTGACTGTAGACATATGTAGAAATTAATTTTAGGCTGGACACTAAATTTGGGCACTTTATGTTCCCTACTGTAAGTATGTTTTACCTTATTTATTAATAGTGATAATAATAATCTATAAACAAGGTAGTATGCACAGGTCTTAGTCTGGAATAACCTGTTTGACAATCATCACAACAAAGCTGTAAGATAGATACTAACACTCCTGTTTTACAGATGAGGAGACTGAGGCAGGAGAGAAGACTTTTGCACAGGATTCCACAGGGTGTGAGTGACAGCTGGTTGCCAGTTGAGCTGGGCCTCAGGGCCATTCCCCACCCTCTTTCCTCCTGAGGTGAGAGCTTACAGCATCTTCCAGACAGTGGCCCGGGGCAGCCAGGGGGCCGCGAGCTCGGGAGCAGGCCGTGGCAGGCCCATGCCCGTATTTGCCCAAGCCATCTGCTCTCCTTCGCCCTCCCAGCCGCAACCACAGATGCTGCGCCTGCTTTTTCCCTTTTTCAGTCACAGCACCCCTGCTGCCCAGCGCTGCCTGCCAAACTCTACATTCTTGGCGAGAGCCACAGACTGGCAGGACAGGAGGGGCCTGTTGGAGCGATCTGTCTCTGCAGGCGGCCAAGCAGCCCCGGGGGCTCCTGGACAGAGAAGGCCCAGCCAGGTCTCCCCGCGCCCAGCATGGGGCTTGCCCTCCCGCGGGCCCGCTCACCTTGCAGCATGCTCCTGTAGGCCGTGTCAGCGATGGCGTAGATGTGGGGCGGCATCTCGTGCCGCTTCTTGCCCTTGTACATGTCGACGATTTTCTCCGAGTAGATGGGCAGTTGCTTGTAGGGGTTGATTACCACGCAGAAGAGGCCAGAGTATGTCTGCAAAACAGAGAGCCCAAGCTGACTCCCAGAACATGGCAGGGAGGGGAGCTCGGATGCCCAGCCTGCAGGGTCCGGGCACGGCAGCACCCATCATGCCTGCACTTGCTGAGCGCCACTGTGTACATTTTCTCACTCTAACTTCACAGCAGCACTGTTAGATACGCTCATATTCCCACTATAGAGAAGGGGAAACTGAGGCACCGAGTTCTACTGTGAACCCCTTGGCATCACTGATATTCTGGGCACCAGTGTGGGAAGAGGTGCAAGGAGCAAGCCTGGGTTTGTAGGCCACCTGTGTTTAACTGTATAACCATGTGCTTCTAGACAGTTCTGGGCTCAGATCTTAGCCCCACTCCTACATGCTGTCTTTTGATCTCCCTGAACCTCACAGCTTAAATAACAGCCTCCATTTATTCAGCACTTACCACGTGCCAGCCACTGAGCTAAGCACTCACAGGCATCTTTACTCCTCATACCTCCCTGGCCCCAGGACAGCAACACTATGATTTCCCTGCTGCCCATTTGTCAGGTGAGGAATCTGAGGCTTGGTGACGTTATAACCAGGTGACACAGCTGGTGGGAAATTCAGAACTAGAAGCCACGACTGTTCACCCAGAGGTAATACTCTTGACTATCAACAAACTAAAATGGGGAATTAACAGGGATATCCTTGAAAGGAATGGTACTGACACTACACATAGATAAGCCTTTAAAATGTCACACAGAATGAAAAAAGCTGGACACAAGAGGTCACATATCTGTCACACAGTTCCACCTGGATGAAACAGCCAGAACTGGCAAATCCACTGGGACAGAACACAGATCCCTGGTTTCCAGGGATGGGAGAGAAAGGGAGAATATGAGTGACTGCTAATGGGCATCGGGTCTCCATTTGGGGTTAAAAACATGCTCTGAAACTAGGTAGAGGTGACGGTTGTACAACACTGTGAATATGCTAAATGCCACTGAACTGTATCCTTTATGCTGGTTAACTTGTTACATGGATTTTACCACAATTTAAAAAAATCATCCTGCCCTACTAAGCGCATAGGAGCATCTGCAAATCATCAGAACAGGGGAGGGGTGTGCAGGTGCCATGCCACACATGTGTGAGGTGCCATCAATGATGTCACTGTTCCTTACTGCACATCAGGTGTTCCCATAGGTTGGGGTCACAGCTCAGGAGACAGGCTCCAATCTAACCCACTGAAACTGCTTCTCCCAAACACTAACATCCCTTCTGCCCAGGGCTCTGATGGCCACGAAGCATGTCTTCCCTCCAGCCCCCCGGAGAAATGACAGAAGGCAGGGAAGCAGATATTCCATTTCTGGGCTACCCTCAAGGCGAACGAACACGGGAGAAGTTAAGCAACTTGACTGAAGTCACCAAGCCGGACCCTGGCAGTGCCAAGCCTAGCTTGGCCCTCTCGCAGGTGTGAGCATTATCCATTAGCTGTCCCACCTGTGCCCACCCTGGCAGAAATAGTCCATCATCTGGTCATTCACTGTGTAGATTCTAGACATGGAGCAAGGCTCTGGGGCTACAGACGACAAAACCCACCAAGGCCTGCCCCCAAAGGACTTTCAGTCACAGCTGAGGCTGACTGGAGAGTGGCAGGGTCCCTTCAGGGCTCCATCTGCTAGGGGACAATGGTGATGGGCCAGAGGCAGGGGGTGAACAGTGTTCAAAAAAAGGTATGGGATTGGTTGGGGAGAGGGAGCAATTTCCAAGGTTCTCACCATTCCCCTAAAAACAGCAGAAATGAGGTCACAATAAGGCCTGGTAAACATCCACCAGCTATTTACTGAGCACCTACTGTACACCAGGTCTGAGCTAGATGCTGGACGTAAATTAATAAATGATGGCCCTGCCCAAGAGCCCACAAAACAGAGGGGAAACAGGGACATTTAAAAATATCATCTTAAGAACAAGGACAGGGAGCAGGCAGTTAGGGGGGCAAGGAAGAGCAGGCCCTAATCCACATTGCAGGTGGTCAGGGAAACTTCTGGGGAGGGGTTCCCCACACTGAGCCTTAACAGAAGAGAAGGTGTTACTCAGCTCACGAGGTAGCAAAGACATAGAGGGCCAAGACAGAGGCAAAAAAAAAAAAAACAATGTGGGGGAACTGCAAGCAGAACAGTACAGCTGCAGCCTGGAAGAGGAGAGAAGCAAGGTGAGAGAGCCAGGTTCCAGCAGAGGTAAGCCTGATGGGCTCTGCCTGGATGCCCCTTGTTCTCCATTTGATCACCCAGCCCCTTCCCACCCATCCCGCACACAGCAGTGCAGGGCTTGGCATACAGTAGGTGCTCACTTAGATGCTTGCTAAATGAATGCCCGAGGGGTGAATTAATTACAAAGCTTCTCTGGAGCAGGGCCAGTGCTGCCTTCATCTCTGGTACCTGTAGCCCTACACTGGGTCTGCACATAGTAGACATTTGCTGAGCAGGTGGCAAAGAGTTCCAAAGCAGGGGCTGTGTGTCCTGTTCATCTGTGTCCTGGTCCCCAGCAGGAGGCCTCCCTCGATAAACAGTCTTTGCATGAAGGTCAACCAAGCCGTACCTTTTCTTAAGGTCTCAACTCCACCTCCAGCTTCTCCCAGACTGTGTCCTCTGCCAACTGCCATGCCCTCTTTGGAATGTCAGTGTCATTTATAGTCCAAACCACCCCACCCGACACCCTTGACCTGGAAGCAGTAAAGGGCAGTGGTTAAGGATACAGAGTTGAATACCAGGTACATGGTTTGAACCTTCACTCTGCTACTTCCTAGCTGTGTGACCCTGGGAAAGTCTCTTAACCTCTCTGAACCCCAGCTATCCTCATCTGCAAAATGGGGGAATACCAAAAGCTCCTTCATAAGTTTGCTGTGCAATAAGGCTCATGAAGCATTTAACCTGGTGCCTGGTATGTAGTAGGTGCTCAAACATTAGTGACAATACCTTTGTTTCATGATGATGACCACCTTGCCACCTTGAAACCTTCACATGTGCTGTTCCCTCTACCTGGAACACTCCCCCTACCACCCCAATCTTCCCAGAGCAACTTCCAACTCCTATCTCAGCGTTCAGCCTCCCGGACTGCAAGCTGCTCACCATCGTACCTCCAGCACAGGGCCGGGCACAGGGCAGGCACTCAGTAAACTTCTGCTGAGTGAAGGAAAGAAGGAAGGGATGCATGGCTCTCCCAGCTCCATTACCAGCTTCTAAAGGATGAGGATCACTCCTCTTTGCGCTAGACTCACAGCAAGCACTTATCTGCTTCCACGCAGACCTGAGACTGTTCAGTTCAGCAAATCCTTCCAGAGCACAACAACCTGAGAGAGGAAGGACTGGGCAGGCAGCAGTATGCCTCACACAGGGCCCTGGGTTCCATAATAATCTGGAGGTTCCATCTCCATTATTCAAACTTGGTTAACTTCACACAAGGCAGCCCACCTGCAGTTGGCAATGTTTCTACTTCCCCGTTGCCACCATCCCCCATCCAGCTGGTCAGGTTCAGAGGTTTCAACATCCCTGCCTCTCATGTCCTAGCTGGCATCTCAGGGCTCTATGCCACCAGCAGGTCCCAGCTGTGGGCCCAAGGTTTCCCTCTTATAACCATATTAGGAAGTGACTCCAGTTTTTTCCTGATACTTTATATGGAAGCTCTGAGCAGGGCCCTGCTCCCATGGCCTCTGGCAGAAATGAGGAACGGGGGAAGTTAAAAGGAACACAGGCTTTAAGTTCCACAGCCCTGGGTGGAATCAGCTTTGCCCTCCTTACCTGAGTGATTTATGTGAGTGGCTGAACCCCTAAGCTACTTCCTCCCATCAGTAAAATGATGGATAACCCAACCTTTTCTACCAGGTTGTAGCACAATGTCACAGCTTTCTGAACATCTATCCTAGACACAGACACAGTGCACCAAGGATGCAATTTGCAGCCTCCTTGCTTTAAAGAGCAAAAAAAGACCCAACACAACCTAAATATCCATCACTGGGGGACTAGCTCAAAAATTATGGTATGCTGCTGTTAAGAAGAGTACATAATGTATATATATATGTATACAAATGTACATACAATTGCCTATATATGTATAAAATATTGCTATAGGGCTACATAAGAAATTGGTGACCACAGTTTCTCCAAGAGGGTTTGAGGTGGGGGGACTGGAAGATGAGGGTAGAAGAGAAAGTTCTGAATCCCCTTATATGTAATTTAGTATTTGCATATATTATATATTCAAAAAGATGTTTTAAGTCTGATAGTTATGAGCAGACTCAAGAAGAACCCACAAGATATGATGTATGCTCTATTTGTAAGTATTCTCTTGTGGTCTTGGCATGGACTACATTATCAGAAGGTGCTTTGAAGCAATAATGACTTGAAAGACGTCAGTGGCCCTTCGCAGGCTCAAGGAAGGGCAGCCTCCAGTTTGTTTTCTTCCCACCCGCCAAGGCCCAGCGCAGCTGTATTTTTTTCCCACCCTCCAGGACCTCTGGCACCCAGGAGGCCTCTGCTGCCAGTGTCCCTGTGCAAACACTTCTTCCGGAGAAGGCTACGGTCGCTGGGCCAGGTGTCTAAGAGGTAAACATTGTCACCTGCTGGAATTTGGAAGAAAGGCCTCTCCTAACCCCCTAGTCTTCCCAGAACAGTGAAATCGGAACCAGGAAAACATCCTTTTGGGTTCAGGGGTGGGGAATTTGGACTTGGAGACCCAACAAATAGGAAGGTCCATCCACTGCTCTGCATCACCTGCCCCAGAGGCTTGGCACAGGTGTGGGAGGACCCACTGCCTACAGGGACCATGCAGGCAAGACATGAGTGAAGTGGGCCAGGTCAGAGGAAGAAATATGGCCAGCAATATTCAGCCCTAGGGGCAATGGGAGTGGTGGGGCCTGTGGCCAAACAGTGCACACAGCCCATTTAACAAGGGGTGTTATCTGGCAACCTGGGTCTGGGAGTGCCACGCCCTCTACTTTTTCAAGCAATACCAGAACTGAGATTTTCTTTTTCTTTTTGGTGGGGAGGAGGTATATCATATTAACTCAATTTTTTAGAAAAGATCTCACTCTGGGCCAACAGCTTGTAATCCCTGGCTTGGCACCTAGCAGGTACTCAAGGAAGCATAATAAATCACATAATATAAATCCTTTGGTGCACTTAATACTTGTCCAACTCAAAGCTAATGGCACCCGTGACACCATCCCCACCTGCTCCAGCCTTCAGGCACCCTAGGCCTTTCACCATCATGAATAGTCTCTCTAGCCCTGGAGGCAGACAGATCTTGTCTGAACCCAGCACTGCCCACTTCCAGCAGTAAGACTGAGCAATTCTGAGCCTCAGTGTCTCTGGTAACGTGGTAATAGCCTCTGTCTCCCAGGAATAAGTGAGCAGGTCATTGGTCCTGTGAGCATTCCTGGGCTAGAGACCCAGCTGTTTCTCATCAAGTTATTTAACTGTTCAAGTCTCCAGTTTCTTTATCTGCAAAAATGAGGCTAATAGCATATTTCTCATACATAAAGCAAAGAATAGAGGTAGCGGTAATAATATATCAGTATAAATTCATACCATAGTAAATTTTAGATAAATAGTAACTGGCATTATTGTTGCCCTGAGGGTAAAAAGGCTCCCTGAGGAGTCTAGTGAAAGATAAGACCCTCTGCCCAGAAAAAATGTACATGGACACAAATTTTCCTTAAATCTTAGGAGGCTGACAAACTTCCTAGTGCCCATTCACAGGTACCAAGTTTAGAAACGCACATTTTAGGGAATTTTTAAAATTTTTTTGTAAGAACACTTAACACGAGATTTACCCCCTTAACCAATTTTTATGTGTACAATTCAGTATTGTTAACTATAGGCACCATATTGTATGGCAGCTCTCTAGATATTATTCATCTTGCGTGACTGAAATTTCATACCTGTTGGGCAGCACCTTCCCATTTCCAGCACCACCTAATAGTCACCAATTCCCTCTCTGATTCTGATTTTGACTATTTTAGATGCCTCCTATAAGTGGAATCCTGCAGTATTTGACCTGTGACTGGCTTATCTCACTCAGTGTAGTGTCCTCTAGGTCATCCATGTTGTCAAATACAGCAGGATTTCCTTTTTTAAGGCTAAATAGTATTCTCTTATATGGATATGCCTCTTTTAGTTGATCCATTCATCAGTTTAGAATCTATGTCATATATCTGCATTTAGCTCATGTGTCTTATCTCCCTTCCCTTAATTATAAAATAGCCTCTGGTCAAGGGCCAGGCCCTGTGTCCCTCAGCATCCCACAGAGAGGGCAGCAGGAGGGCCAGAGGCACACACTCTTTGCAGCGTGTCAGGCCAGAGTCTGGACAGGTTATACTGCTTCTCTGCATCAGACACCTCACATGCAGAGCTTTGCTCTCACCAGTGTCATAAAGGACAAAATAGGCTGGGACACCCAGTACCGGCAAAGCTCACACCTTTACTGAACTCCCCCCACCTGAAACCCTGTCCCATTCCATCGGCTACACATCAGGGACAGAGCCAAATAATAAGCCATCAAGAAAAAGTCCAGGCAGAGCAAACCCAGCCAACAGCAGTGTCCGGAAGGGCAAGAGAAAGCTGGGCCAGGAAATAGAGCCACGTGCGTGCTCCAGACGGGCCACAAGTGATCAGTGGCAGCTCAGGCAAGAATCTGCATCTCTAAGATAAGGAGATAGGATCCTCTGGTTTCTACCGATTCTTTTAGACCCAAGAGGGCAAGACATCTTCAAGGACCTAATCAAAGGCACATTGTCTGAGGTGAACCATGCAGAACAGAGGGGAAAGTTCTCTTCATTACCAAGGGCAAATCAGGCACGCTTGGCTGCCTCCATATTATCCTGACATCCACCTATTTACAAGGGCTGTGCCCTCTGCTCTCGCACCCTGGGAGAGTAACTTGCTGTGCTTCCCCAACCCACCCCTGTCCTTTAACTCCTCTGTCATGGACAACAGTTTCTATTTAAGTGATTAAATTGGGCAGAAAGGAATGAGAGAGGAGTAGGCACATGGTCACAAGGCTGAAAGGTTTTTCATCTAATCTGGAGAAGCAGGGCAGGAATTTCAAACTTTGATTCATTTTTTAATCTGCTGTCAGAAGATATTCTGAGTCTCAGGACCTTCACAAGTCCCTTATTATTTTTCCTGATTCCCATTTTGGGCTCAAACACCATGTCAGAGGACAGCAGGTGAGATTCATACCCAGGCCCGTCCTTGGCCTCCCTGGATGGAGAGGACACATCTCAGATGGGAGACCCAGAGCGACCAAATTTCTCCCCTATTCCTGCAGACTGGTGACTTTAGAAATGTCCATCCTATTGATAGTATTTCCATGCAAGGAGTGGTGAGGACAGAATGAATTCTCCCTGCTTAGTTAGGAAGTAAGGATGGCCTTTAGCACTCTGGGCCTCAGTTTGCTTGCCTGTAAAATGGGACGAGTGTGCTTATTTAGTGGATATTGTGTTGATTAAATGAGATAAAGTCTGTCAAACCTGAGTTAGAGGAGGTATTTAATAATTATGAGTCGCTCTCCTGCTCCTCTTTGGCTCTTAAAAGAGCCACTGTTACCCCATCTGAACTACCCATAAGAAGAATGGGTAATCAGTTATGGCACATCCATGCGTTAGACTACACAGCCCTTAGATGGGTATTTTTGGGGTTATGAATGAAATGTGGGAAGGCTCAGCATTGACTTGCACACTAACCTATGTGCAAAGGTTTTTAAACATGTAAACACATACCATGCTCACAAAGAAAGGGATCAAGAACGCACCAGCTCCTTATCAGCTGTTATCTCTGAGGGAGGACTGATTTTGTGTTTGCTGTATGTTTCCGAATTTTCTAAATCTTCTGAAATGAATGTGCCTTGCTGCACTAGTTAGGAAACAAATCTGAAGGACACTTTTAGAGATGATATGGGGGTTTTATAATTTTCATATGACAAAATGTGAAGGGCAGTGCCAGGAGGACATAGGCTAAAGAGACTGTTTCCGCAAGCTTGCAAAAATCCTAGAACATCCAACTGGTAATAACAAAAATGACCTTAACAACAGCAAAACCAATGATAATAGCACCTAGCATCTTGAGTGCTGACAATGTGCTAGGAGGCATGTCAACCTTTGCCTTCTCTTTTTTAGAGTAACCCACTCTCTGAGACTGGTACTATGCTTGTGTTCATTTTAGAGATGGAAACAAAATTTCTGAGAAATTAGTAACTTGCCCAAGGGAGAGCAAATCCTTTCTGAGAGGCAAGATAAACGAAGGTGGACTGGTGAACCCTCTGCGCACCAGCCTGGCATCAGGGGGCTTACCTTGTCTCTCTTGCTTTGGGGAATCCAAACCCACAAGGAACAGGCCCCCTTTCCTGCCGCCACACCTCCCCATCATCTAGTCCAGGCTGTCCAGCAGAACGTCCTACAGTGACGGGAATGTTCTATTCCTGTGCTGTTCAATACAGCAGCCACTAGCCACAGGTGGCTGTTGAACATGGGACATTGGCCAGTGCAAAGAAATGAATTTTTAAGCATTGATTTTTAATTAATTTACATCTAAATTTAGTTAGCCACACGTGGCTGGTGGCTACCCTATTGGACAGTACAGGTCTAAGTCTACTCTGGCCTGCACCGTCAGCCCCAGGGAGCCCGGGGCCCATCTATAACAGGGAAGGCCTGCCCTAAACCTAGCCAGACCTCCATCTCTCCCTCTCACATGGCTGCTGGCAGGGCCAGCCTTCCCAAGAGGTGATGAGCTGTCCTTCATTTCCAAGTTGGAGGAAGAACAGCAAACTACCTCACTGAAACCTGTTAGGTATTCACCATGCACCTTGGCGCTTTGCATAAGTGATCACACAGAATCTCAGCATCTCACTGACCTAGGGAGGGAGATTTGTCCCATTTTACAGATAAGAATACTGAGGTTTCAAAAGGTGAAGTAACCTGGTCAGTGTTGCAGATCTAGGTGAAGCAGGACTGAGGCTTGAACCCAGGTCTGAATGATTCCACTTCACCATGTGGCCTCCCTCAGCAAAACCTCCCAACTTGTACCCCAAGCATGTCTCTAAACCTCTTCCTTCCCTAGGGGTGCGGGAGGACCAGAAGAAGTAACTGGATGCCCCAAGATACTCACGTATATGAGTCCTGAGAAGTACCTCTCCCTCAGGTTATGGAGCACGGAGGCTTCATTGAGGCACGTCAGCTCTGCCATATCCTCCACTTTGGAGAACTTAGGCGGGTTCATCTTCTGGATGTCATCTTTGTTGACTGAAACCTTCTTGCCATTCTCCACTAGCTCCACAACCACCTCATCGCCCTTCTCCTCCTTGATGCTGGCCGCCTCGAAACCCTGCTTCTCTGAAGGGACCCAGACCAGCTTCTTGGCAGCCCAATCAGCCTGGGCCACTGGGCTGTTGATGAAGTTTTTGTCCACAAAGAGGAATTTCTCATCATCACTGAGCTGGCCCTTCTGTGCCATGGTGCCTGGTTGGTCCCCTGTGGAATAAGGCAATAGCGTCAGGATTGGGCCAGAACAAAGCCATAAAGCAGACGGACCCCTCACTTCACATGACTAGGAATGCAGGCTGCAGAAATGTTCTGCAAACTACGAGGATGTTCCCTACAGTATAGTTATGTCATCAAATGGAAACACCCAAAGGCCCTTCAGAAAATGGAGCTGCACCATTGATTATTGTCCATCATCAGGGCATTGGATATGTAAACCATGCATTTTCACAATGAAATACTCTCCAGGAGTTAAGAAGCAAGAAGGATGTCTATATATGTTGACATAGGAAGATATCCATGTCTTATTGTTCACAGCAGACATAAAAGCACAGGGGTACTCAAATGGTTAAACATGAGAATTTCCATATGACCCAACAATTCTGCTCCTAGGTATACACCTAAGAGAAATGAAAACATACATCCATGCAAAAACTTGTATGCAAATGTTCATGGAAGCATTATTCACAATAGCTAAAATGTGGAAGTAAGCCACACAACCATCAACAGATGAAATGAATAAAATGTGGTCTATCCATATAATGAAATACTATTTAGCCATAAAGAGGAATGAAGTACTGACAGAAGCTACAGCTTGGATGAACCTTGAAAGCATTATGCTAAGTGAAAGAAAGCAGTCACAAAGGCCATGCATTATATGATTCATTTATATGAAATGTCTAGAATAGGCAAGTCCATACTGACAGAAAGAAAATTAGTGGTTGCCACAGGCTGGGAGAGAATTAGAGACAGCTATTGGGTGCTGGGTTTCTTTTTGGGGTAAAGAAAATGTTCTAGAATTTACTATAGTGATGGAAGCACAATTCTGTGAGTATGTAAAAGCCACTGAACTGTGCAATCTAAATGGGTGAATTGTATGATAAATGAATTATATCTAAATAAAGCTTTTTAAAAATGAAATAAAGGGAGAGAATCAAACAGGTATAATAAAATCCCATTTTTATTTCAAAATATTTAGAATTGTATAAGAAAAATAAGTTACCAAGTGCACTTGGGGGATATTTACTTTTATTTTAGGCTTTTTTCCATTTTTTTTATTGTGGTGAAATATATATGACATAAAACTTACTTTCTTAACCATTTTTAAGTATAAAGTATTAAGTACATTCATATTGTGTGCAACCACTGTCCATCTCCAGAATTCTTTTCATTCTACAAAATGGAAACATGTACCACTCAACAATACCTCCCCATTCTTCCCCAGTCCCTCAGCCCATGGTGACCACAGTTCTATGAATTGGACTATTTATTCTAAGAACCTCATGTAAGTGGAATCATACAGTATTTGCCTTTCTGTGACTGGCTTATTTCACTAAGCATGATGTTCTTAAGGTTCACCCATGTAGCATGTGTAAAAATTTCCTCTCTCTTATCAGTTTAATAATATTCCATTGTATATACATACCACTTTTTATTTATCCACTCAACTGTTCATAGATATTTGGGTTGTTTCCATGTTGTAACTACTGTGAATAATGCTGTTATGAAGATGGGTGTACTTTCTATTATGTATTTTTTTACCATGTTTGCAGCTTTATAATTTTTTATTGAATTTATGATCAACAAAAATAGATATTTTTACAAAGGTCTTCAAATAGCCAACATGTGTAAGAAAAAGATGTTCCCCCTCACTAGTAAATGAAGAAACACAAGTTAAAGCAATGAGGTGTTGATTTTTACCTACTCACCTTGGCTAAAATGAAAACCTTTGATAATATCCACTGTTGCAAGAGGGTAGGGGCCTGGCCTCTGCAAACACAGCCCTCATGCATGGAAAAGCCTTAAAAAATCTATGCATACTCCTTGACCTACAATTGCATTTCTATGAATTTAGCCTAAGCAAAGAGACAAGTGCTAACAGATGTGTAAGAATGCAAGTTGCACTGCTGTTTGGTAAACAGCAAAGCCCGTAAGCCATCTAAACGGCCTTCGGTGACTACCTTGTTAAATTGTGGAACTTACACTTAGTAAAACGCTATAATTTCACTGAAGATTTAAATTATCAACTTTTATTTATGTCAAAGATTTTTTCACTTCTCCTGGAACATAGTTATTAAAAGTATCATTGACATGCCCTGAAATTCTCTCACTGTAAATGTACAATTCAATGATTTTTAGTACATTTACAGAAAATGTGCATCCATCATTACAAGGAATGCTGGAACATTCCTGTCATCTGAAAAAGGGTTCCCTTGTGCCAGTCTGCAGTCTCCCTATTCCCACATCCAATCCTAATCTACTATATCTCTAAAGATTTGCCTTTTCTGGATGTTTCATATACATGGAATCATAGAATAGGTGACTGTTGACCATGCGAAGATACTGAAGATGTATTTCTGTGTATGTACGTATAAATGGAATATTCAGTAATAAAAAAGAACAAACTACACAAGAGCATGGACAAATCTTAAAAGCACTATGCTAAATGAAAGAAGACGGACCCAAAAGACTACGTGCTCTATCACTCCACCGATACAGAAGTCTAAGAGAGAAACTCTGGGGACAGAAAGAGGATCAGTAGTCACCAGGGGCGGGGCGGGAACCGACTGCCAAGAGGCACAGAGGAACTCCGGGATGATGGAAATGCTCTGTATCCTGATGAAATCGGGGATTACACATTTGTCAAAACTCATTGGGCTGTATGCTTAAAAATCTGTGAATTTTTAAAGAATTGGTGAGTTTCACTGTATGTAGATTATACCCCAAATAAAGGTGATTATTTGTAATAGAACCTTTCTTGTAATTTTTCATATGTATACAGATTTTTCAAAGTCTAGAAAACTACATGCTCAAATATTAAACTATGGTCCTACCTGGTCAAATACAGGATAGTTTGCACATCAGTAAGAAAGATAACTATTTGAGTAGAGAGATGAGTATGTCTAAACCCATGAGATCATGGTGATGAAGGAGGATTCAGAGGTCTACCTTGACAGATGCTGGGGAGCCAACCCATTATTTTGAAAACTGGCAAAGGGAATCCAAACATGACTCTGCCTCTCTCACAGAAATTGTTCCTTAAAGCCATTAAATGCTTGAAAACGAGAAGCCTGTCTTTATATAAAGTTTCAAGTCATTACATGTCCTTTCAAAAGGGCAGGCCCATTTGCCACAGATTCTCCATCCTGTTGTCTAGATGTGTCCACAAGGCAGGTGCTGAGACAACAGGTTCTTCATAGGCCTGCCCTGTGGCCCATCCCAGACCCTCGGCCGTACCTGCAAATGGTGCCCTTGCTCTGCTAACACTTACTCTCGTCCAGCAACCCCAACCTGCCCCATCTCTCCTCCCCCATCCATTGCTTCTGTGCTCCAAAGAACTAAGGCTCAGGCTGAGTTAGGATACACGGCCACCAGGACACAGTGTAGTTGACGTTCCTCCTTCAGCAGAAAACAATTCACAGCTCCTTTGAATTCACCAAGAGGAGCCCCAGGCTTGGGCTTCAGATCCCATGTTGATGGAGTAACCTCCATATCCCACGAGCAGGCCCTGGGGCTGGGCGGCCAACTTCTGAACTGCAGACATTGCAAGGCAAAATAGAAGCAGATACTCCAGCAGCCACTTTCCTCTTTCAGGGATGAAAATAACAATAATAGAAACCAGAAGCTGATATGCTCAGAGGGGATGGTTATTTCTCCTAGGAGCCCTGATCTAGCAGCTCATTTTAAAAGAAAGATGGAGAAATGAACAAATCATTCCCTCATCTGAATAGGCACTGAATTGAGAAAAGTGAAATAAAGAATTGTAGAGAACACCTGTTGTTCCAGGTTTAAAACCACATGTCTGGCATTTTTAAACCATTATTGGATTTTGCTTGGGATGTAATAAGTCCAAAGCATCCTCCCTCAATTCCATTTCCATTGTTATTAACAAATATTCTTTTCTACTTAGAAGAATTCCAGCTAATAAATGTAGAAGAAATGGTAAAACTCAAACCTAGTGATTTTTAACCCCTAGTAAAATAATGGGTCTTGGCAATAACCATCCATAGTTGTTAAAACCAGGAGACCAGCGGTTCTCCTGCCTCCTGCTCTTCTGCCTCCTGCTCAAGCTTCATGGGCTCATCAGTTCAGGGGAGTGTCTGCAATAAGTGAACTGACCTTTTAAGGTGCCTAGCACAGTACCTGGCAATAAACATTCAATGGGACCTGAGTCAGATTAGCTACAACTCCACCCCACAGTAAGAACAGATCTCACAAACACATTTGAGCAGAAGGCAGACACAAAAGGATGCACTGTGCCTCCCGTTTATAAGGGGTTTGAAACCAGGCATAATTAACCTATGGTAGGTCATACATCATGACTGGAAAAGTAGACATGAGGGGGGCTTATGGGGCTGATGTTCTGCTTCTTAACCTGCCAGGCACATGAGTCTGTTCACTTTGTGACCATTCATCAACTGCACTTTTCTGATACAAAGTACACTTACATGAAAAAATCTGGTTTCCTTTTTTCCCTATTAATCCTTAGTTGTGGTAAAATACACATAAAATTTACCACTTTAGCCATTTAACTGTGCAGTTCAGTAGTGTCAAAAATACATTTATATTATTGTGCAATCAATGAAAATGATCTATGTAAAAATAGGAGCCAATTATACTCAAGAGGGCCAGGGGAAAGCTTCCATTTGTTCTGAGCAGTGTGACCACTAAGCGGGCTAATTGTGGTGTTGGTAAGTTGCCTTAAAAGTCATAAAAAAAGAAGAAAATACAACAGAAAAATAAAAGGACACAGGAATCCCCATTGCCAGGAATCCCATCTAATCTAGGGCTAAAAACACCAACAAGATTAGTGCAAAGAGCCTGTCTCTGTCCAAAAAAAGGAGACAGAGAAGCCGCTTTGATGCCCCTGACAGTTACAAGGTGTGAGATCTGCTTTGGTGAAAGGAAAGAAGGAAAAGAAATGAGGAGCTAGGCTTCACCCTAGAATGGTGTTTCTCAGAGTGTGCTCCTTGGAACCCTAATCCCTTTAT